TAGTATTCCAGAAATTGCTACCACTTTACATTGTCCAACCCACTTTTTAAGTTCCTATAAATATAGTATATACCCTTTTGTATCTGGAAAAAAATATTTTTGGATTAGAATTTTACTGCTGACAATTGAGAAAATCTAACAGGTATAAATAGGCAAACAAAAGCATCATCCTAAACAGTAAAATCCAGAGATATATTCTCTTCTTCATTTATTCCACCAGTATTTTATTAAGCATCTACTTTCTGTCAGCACCTCTTCAGGCATTGAAGAGCAAGACAGGAGAAGGTCCCTAACCCTTGTGGAACTTTGCATCTTGTAATTTTTTCATGGGCTGGTCAAACATCTTGTGTATACTGCTATTCAGAGATCTGGCCTGAGCTCTCAGACTATCTGGCCAAAAACCTTGAAGTGGCGACCCCAGTAATTTAGTACCATCTAATAATTTCAAATCAGAAAAGTGGAGGTCTTAACTGGTTGTCCAAACCAACCAGTCATTTCTCAAAAGCAGAGTCAGAGGCCCAGAGGAAGTGCTTATGAAAGCCCTTGAGGGTGAAGAATCATCCAGAAAGGAGTATCCCAGCCAGAATCAGATCCTCAAGCTTCTAATCCTGGAGTCTAGAAGGTTTTGTGGGCTTCAACATTTCAGACCAGGATAGAATGGTAGTTACATGTTATTCTAGGGATGAATAACACTTGGAGCCCTACTGGTCACTGCTAATTCAATGGGACGCCTTAGAGAGCAGAAGAGCAGAGATCAGAAAGACCAGGCTCTCCCGCTGTAAACAAAGAAGGGTAAATATGGAAAGTGGTGGTAGTAGGAAGGGAGACCATCGCAAACTGAAGAAAACAAATGACAGAGGAAGTGAGCTCATGGAAGCTGCATTCACCATTTGGTAAAATTACTAACATGAGGCCAGAGAGATAGCTCACTGGCATAAGCACCTGCCTGGCAAGGGCGAGGTCCTGAGTTCAATTCCCAGTAAAAAAAAAAAAAAAAATACCCACACAATGCTCAGAAACCCTTTATAAAGTGAAAACTTGGAATCTACCTACAAATTCATTTGTAGAAGAGCCTCATATTGTCTCTTCAAATTCAGTAGAAACTCTTAAAAAAAAAAAATCTGAGAATATAAAAGCCCAAAAATATCAGTTGGCTCACTTTATTGCATGATTTCATGGTAAGTCACTTTTTTCCTAAATATATGAGAGCCCTCGTACTCCTGGAAGCTATAATTATTAATGTATTTCATTTCCACAAAAACACAATATAACATTGTTATCTCTTTTGCACATTTAGGTCTGCCTGACTCCAAACCTGCCTTCTGTTCTCAACTGTGTATTCACTCCATACCCCAAAGAATGTCCCTTTCAACTCTCATCTTCCCAAACAATGAAAGCTAGAGACCTTCCTCTTTCATCGTAAAGCCCTGCTTCAAATAACACTAGAACTGACTTACTCTACTGGACACAAGCAACTTCTCTGTAGACTTGCCAGTCTCTTCTTTTCTTTTCCTTTTTTCAGCATTACTATCAAATCTGGGACCTCGTCATGCTAGGCAAACATTCTACCACTGAGGTACATTCCTAGCACTTTTTATTTTATTTTGAGACCAAGTGTTGTTAAGTTGTCCATGCTGATTTTCCTACCTTAGCCTCCTTGAGTAGCTACAATGTCCAGCACATTTTCCCATCTTTAACATGAGATTCCTGTCTCAGTCTGCCCTCACTTTATCCTACATGAAGCATAGGCAGAGATTATTGCAAACATGCAGAGTCTTCTATGGGGGAGGGAGGTTTCACTGAAGAGTTTCAGGGTGAAACTCATTTAGATGCTAACATCCAAGATCTACACCCTAAAAGAAGCACTGTTAGTCTACTTATTCTTTGTTAAATTTCTTCAAGACAGATATTGAATCTGTTCACAGTAGTTGTGACTACAGCATGAGCACCTACAATAGCACCAAGTGACCAATACGAGGTAGGTCTGGGAAAGAGGATTGCAGGAATTTCTGGCTATGAATAGCAAAATTACTTGGAAGACATAACTGGGCACTCAGGAATTTTCCCCTGCATTCGTTGTATAATTTCTGCATCATTATTTGGGTGGCTGAGATTTGGGGGAGAATGAATTTGCTGATACCTGAATTTTAAGAGCGAAAGAGGCTTGGAAGTTCAAGGAGGTACACAGCAGCTAGAGCTACAGCTGGTTTTTAACTACTGTGTTGTTAAAAAGAGAAGCGATGGATGGCTTTTTAATGGGCCTTCCCAGCTTAATACACAAACTGATCTACATTATACTTGATGCTTCCATAATGAGAGAGAGAGAGAGAGAGAGAGAGAGAGAGAGAGAGAGAGAGACTGTTCTCCAGGGGCATTTACTCTGAACATTTCATTATCCTGCTTGAGACAAGATGGGGAGACAGAAAATTCTCCAGTGAGTGCAATTACAGGGGGCAAGTATCTGCCATATGTCACAACAAACTAAAAAACAAGAAGATGGAATGAAGGGTCCTTGTTTCTATGGACTTATTACCCCTTTTTCAGCGAAAAGGAGCTGAGAGGGGAATAAACCTTCCCCAGAGATCTATACACACAACGAGTGCCTTTCTTTCTGGCTCCCAGGTGACCCAGGCACCTATTGTCCACTTTGTATTTAAGAGACATCCTCACCTCTTAACAGCCTGATTGGATCAATCACATCATCAGCTTTCACATACTCTGTACATTTGATCCTGTACCTATTTTGAGGATTGGTGGACCCTTCCTCTTCCATGCTAAAATCCCTCTCTATCCCCAGTTTAAACTCAACTGTCTCCTAGTTATCTTTGAAGGTGGTAGAGAAAGGAGCTCCTTTGCAATTTTCCTGCTGATTCTCCTTTTCTGTTCCTAATTGCCCTGGCCTTTCCACCCCTAAATTAGGTCCAGTGTTGAGATCTCCAGGCTTCCATAAGAGCTAGGTCTCACTGGCTTCTTGGCTCTTACTGGGTGGCCTCCTACCTTCCCAAACTGGGAAGCCTGCGCACTATTTTTAGAAGGAGCGTTTGCATAGGTGGTCTTATTCAAGGTAAACAACTCTACTCCACTGCACCTATCCATAACCTTTTTCACAGATGAGAAAACTGGGGCTCAAAGACAAGAATGTCCTCTGCTCCAGGAGTCTGAGTGGTGAATCCGAAGGAGCCCCTTCCCCTGTTCCGCAAGTCAGGTCCCAGCCTATAGGCTTGAGGGAGTTGGGTGTCTCCTTCCTCCCCCTCGCAGTCCCCGAGGGGTTGTGGTAGAAACTCCTGCAGTGCTGAATCGCCCAGGGCTTCCTTCCCAGCCAGGTCTGGGTGGGGAAAACGTTTTTTTCCTTCAGTGGCTTTGTCGGCGCCTTCTCCACTCGGTCCCTGCCGCTAGAGCAGTGGCCTCGCCTTTGCAGAACGCGCTGTGGGTGCCCTGGAACTGCGAACAAACCAGAAGTGAGTGGGCCCGGGACACACAGCTCCAACGTTCATTCAGCCGCAGGCCAAGCTTTACTTTCACTCCTAGAAAGGAGCCCCCAAGGTCCTAGCTTTGTTGCCGGAGTGGAGGCGTTTTGATATTCCAGGTGCGGCTCATCAAGCGGCTAGGGGACCTCCACTTCAGCTATTCTTTCTGGTCATAAATTAGTTGGTGACGCCTTCACCCTTGCCCACGCTATCCCGGCCTGAAGCCTTGCAAATCCAAGCCTCTAGACCTGAACCGTGAGGGTTTCGGGCCCAGAGAGCAGTAACTGAAGTAGAAATAAATGGGATCTCTCCGATCCACACTCACCCGGCCTAAGAGCCCGGCCGGCCACTTTCCTTCTGGCCTCAGAGCTCCTGCCCAAGTGGTCAGTCAGTTTCGCCTCCACCCCGCTTCTCTCCGGATCTATCACCTGTGCACCCTTGGAAGCTCTCTACTTCTTGCATCCTCCTGTCTTCTTCCAAGAGCACTCCAGTGTTCTACAGTTCTCACCTGAGCCCCAGAAGCGCCGTTTCGTCTTTGTGGCCAGTGGAAAAGTCCCCGCACCTAGGCTGCAAGCCACTTGCTTTATCAAGTCCAAAGGTCAGCTAAAGTTTAGCTGATAAGCAGAACCCACAAAAGAAGATCTTCAGCCCCCCAGCGTGAGTACAATGGGCCCCAGCCAGCCCCGCTCCCGGCCTGGGTCTCCGGATCCCCACGACTGCCCCTTAGGCTTTCTCTCTCTGTGGGTTCCCCCCCCTCCCCACTACCATTTGCATCTTGCCGAAAGCGGGGCCCTTCCCACTAATTTGCATATCTTATATGGCCTAATGGTGGCGATCATGGCAAGTTAGAAGTTTTCTGACTCCTCTCGGAGGAGGCTCCGGGCCCCCGGGGAGTAACAAGTCTCTGGAGACTGAAGGGTGGAGGGGTTCCAGGACTTGGGGTTCTCTTGTGAAACTCCCCTCCACCCTCCTCTCTCACACCCACCCACCCCCTCACCCCCTTCTCTTTCCGTCCTTGGAAAATGGTGTCCAAGCTCACGTCGCTCCAGCAAGAACTCCTGAGCGCCCTGCTGAGCTCCGGGGTCACAAAGGAGGTGTTGGTCCAGGCCTTGGAAGATTTGCTGCCATCTCCAAACTTCGGGGTGAAACTGGAGACGCTGCCTCTGTCTCCCGGGAGCGGAACCGATCCAGACACCAAGCCAGTCTTCCATACTCTCACCAACGGCCACGCCAAGGGCCGCTTGTCCGGAGACGAAGGCTCCGAGGACGGCGACGACTATGACACCCCTCCCATCCTCAAGGAGCTGCAGGCGCTCAACACCGAGGAGGCCGTGGAGCAGCGGGCGGAGGTGGACCGGATGCTCAGGTAGGCGGCGGGTGCGGTGCAGAGCGCGCGCTGGAGTCTCCAGAGCCCGGGCCCCGCGCCGGAGCCACACACTGCCCGCTACTCCCGAAAGCCGGTTTGGGTCTAAAGAAGTCCCCCGGGAGTGCTGGGCTCCTCTCCCAGCACCTGGATCCCTCTCAGACCCTCCGCCAGGCCTCCCTGGGCCCGAGGCTCCAGCCCAGCGTCCAGGACCCTAGGGCCTTCCCGGTGGGGCTCGACCCCGGAGAGCTAGACTCTCGGAGCCTTTTGCTCGAGTTAGCCCCAGACTGAGGCGTGAATGGGTGCCGTGAAATCGCTGCGATTTCCCGGGAGGAGAAGCTCTAGTCCCGCAAGCCTCAGGCCGCTCTGCCTGGGGTCAGGGAAGCCGCGGGCGGGGCTCCGGCTCCGCGACCCGCAGTGCGTGGCCGCGGGACCTCAGCGAGCCCCTGGGGCCGGGATCTGGTGGGCGCTCCCATCTGCGGCGCCCGGGCTGGACCGGAATTATCTCAAGTTCCTAAACCTGTCTCTGGATTTGTAAAAGGGAACGTTTTCATGTGCGGTCAGGGTGGACCCGCACAGGGCAAAAGAAACCGCAAAGCTTAGCTAGCGGGGGCGGGGTAGGGTAAATCCGACGAAGAGTCCATTCGCAAGTGGCTTTAGTCTCGATCTGCGAAAGAAGGCGCGCAAGCACTTTGCCGCCGCCACCCAGGCGCCCCAGGGGGAATTCGGGCGAGCGGGCCTTCTCGCCCGGGGCCCGGATCCTCTGGGTCCTCGCTGACTGTTTGACAGCTAGTTACTAATTATCCAAGGGGCCCAGCGGCTCTGAGAGATGGCACTGTGCTCCCGGGCCACCGGGTTTTGGTAAAGAGCCTCTCACTTGTCTTTCAACACTTAGGCGCTGCGATTTCAAAGTTTCCGAAACAAAGATTGAAGTCGCTGTCGGCCTGGCCAAGCGCTCACCGTGCCTTTTGGGGGTGAGATGTGACCTTGCTTTTGAATTTGTGCGCTGGGTACTCCTTGGCTTGCCCTCTGTAGACCACAAGATCGGGAAGATTTCTAGGTCCTCCCCCTAAATGCTTTGCTATGATTCATAGACTTGGGGTTCTTCGCTCGCCATTTCCTTGCGTGGCAGTGATTGATTCCGGGCAGGCTTGGGGGACAGCAAAGGTGTGGGTCGCCGAGGTTGAGAGGAGTCCGTAGAGGAGCCCCTCAGAGGTGCGCAGGTTGACCTGAACTGGCGAACAGCCGGGCTTCTAGGTCACCCAGGCCTAGGCCCTTCTGCCTGGTCCCGGGGGCCTCTGGCTAGGGCGGAACGCCGAGGATCTGGGAAGCCCGAGCAGACCTGGGCGCCCCTCCGCACCAGCCCAGCAGCGCCCGGAGGGACGCAGCAGAGATGTAACATAAACTGCAGCACGTGGAGTTGGGGTGTTATTAATTTATTTCTATAAATCATCAACAGAAAGATACACAAAGGACCGTGATTAGGTTGAAAAGAGAGGCGGGTTATTCATTGGTGAAGTTGTAAACGCGGCTTAGAAAGGGGAGGAAATCAAAACGCAGACGCGGGGGTGCTCGCCACCGCTCTTGGGGCACAGCACTACGCTGCAGGACGCGCCACCCCCAAGCCGCAAGAGGGCTGCAGCGGAGCTCCAGGGCCGCCGACACTCGCAGGCCCAGCGGGTTGAAAGCCAGGCCCATCCCAATCTGGTGGTCTTCGGACCTCAGCCCTCTTCCCTCCCCAAAGCGGGGTGGGGAGGAGGGCTAGGGAGGCCGAGACCCTCGCCAGAATTAAGTTCGCTGGACAGATCCAGGGGCTTTTCTCCCCTTCTCAAGCGGGTGCTGTCTTCGCTTCCTCAACACCGGGCGCGTCGGGCTTTATTAAAGTAATTTTTCAAGAAACAGCACAGTGGGTCTCAGAGAGCCGGGCACAAGCACCCCCCACCCCCACCCACCTGCTTGGTTTCTTGCCCAGCCCGTTCCCCTAAGGCGGAAAGAAAAGAAAAGTCACTTTGGTGGAGCGCCCGGACACCCTTTACACCTCCTACAGGAGAGGGGCCAGGAAGGCAGGTTGGGGACAGTGCTCTGCCGGGTCCTCTGCTCCAGGCGGGGATCGCCACGAGACTGGCGCGCGGGTGGCATTAGGAGAGCCTCGCACACCGACTTGTGACTTCTCAGCGAACGAGCCTACGGCCGTGCCGGGGCTTTTCCGCCGGCTCGCAGGCAACAAAGTCATTGTTTGCGAAGGAGGATTGCCTGGCGGACCTTGCGGCGGCCGGCTCTGGCTTTTGACACCTGCCCTCCGAGCACAATGGCCACGCGCGTTTATCCGGGGTGGGAACCACTGAACGTGAGCTGTGTTTAAAAAGAAAAAGAAAAACAAAACAAAACAAAAAAACTGAACCAGCTCTTTCGGCCTTTCCCGGGGAAGATAGGAAATTCTGGAGGCAGAGAGCTATAAAGGTGTAACTACGCCATCTTACCCCCAGCTCTAGTTCTTTTAATTCGGACTTAAAGGTTTTGCCTTGTTTATAAGATTTTTGCAGACTTTCAAAAATTGAAACCTGCTCGATTGTTGAACTAATTCACCCTTTTCTCCGAGCCCTTCGCACTTAGAACGTTGCATTATTTTGCTAGCTTTCTTAGGAGCACAAAATGAACACAGGTAACAAAATTTAAACAAAAGACCAATAACCAAAGAAACTGTTACAGCAATGCAATACTAACTTTCAAAATCCGAATACTTTTTCCCCAGTTTCTAAAGCAATTGTTCACATCTGTTGAAAGTATGTTCTACCCTAAAAGTATCTTGGGAAACATTGGCCAGAAATAAACCTTCACATGATCTCTGATGTTTACATAAATATGTCTAAAATGTTTACTACCTATTTTTCTGTTGCTCAAGGTGAATTCACGTTTGAAACAGGAATGCATTCTCTCCGTTTTTGTTCTTGTTGTTACTTCATTATGTCGTATTACTTGGAAGTACTTTGATAAATACTTGAGAAATTCGTTATTAACTTATATGTAATTAACGTAAAATTTGTATTTCTCAGCAACATCTCTTTCAAAGCCAGGGTTCTTACAAATTTAATATCAAAAGCTTGCTAACCTTTTATAACCATTCAAATGATTATGAAATAGCTGATTATCATTAATCAAAATTTTATTTGACAGACATTATTTAGAAATACATTGGATGTTACCCTGCAAAAATGTATCTCTTCAGGGTCTCTGCTTCAACACCAATTTGTATTGTTTTATCTGAAACTAATTTTCCCTTCATTTTTATGTCCTATCAAATATATACTATATAATTTATATACCAATGCACAGCAAAGAGATGGTTTGATAAATTAAAAATGTATATTTGAGAATGTATTCTTTCCTTAGTACTGTGCCTTATTTTCTTAATTTAAATGTCTTTTCTTATTTTAAGTCAACTTTATTAAGCAAAGTTGAGAATATTTTAAACATCAAAGTCACTAACATGAAGTTTTTTGCATGCCTGTGTTTATAAGAAATGAAATCTGAGCATGTTCTTAGCCCAAGCTTAAAACAGGGCATTTGAGATTGTTGGTGACTTACTGCAAAGTTTGTCTTCCTTAAATTTTATTTGAGAAATGGAACCATCGATTTTTTTGTAACTTTACCTGCCTTGCAGGTGGTATGGTTTAAGAGTGCCACTGTATTTGAAAACTTTTGTAAAATCAGAAGAAGGATTTAATATTTGGTGATTAAGTCCTCCTTACTTTTCAGGAAGTAGGCACATATTTTACCCCTGTTTTCTGAGAGCCTGATTCACTAGTTCAGGAGGAAAATAAAGTAAGAGAAGCTTAGACTGAAATTAAGTGAATTCAGAAACTGAGGCTACCTCCACCTTTTTGTAAGATCCGTTCACCTGGTCTAGAGCTCATCTTCACTCTCCAGTGGGGCCAGCCTTGGAAATATCTTGAGCTCCAGGAAAATGAAGGAAAGCAAAACAAAACAAGAGCTTTTTTTTTTTTTCCTTGCTTAAGGAGAGAGAGAGAGTGTGTGTATATGTGTGTGTGAGAGAGAGAGTAGTCTTTGCTCCTTGAGGATGAACGGTGGTCTTCTCTTTCTGCTGATGTTGGAAGAAAAGGAGAGTGTGCACTGTGCAGGCTGTTCAAGTGGTTTGGGTTTTTTTTTGGGGGGGGGTTATTTATTTATTTGGATTTTCTTTCTTCATTCTGCTCTTAAGGTTGTAACTTGGACAGGTAGAGAAATACATGAAGATTGGTTCTTCACGAGTATAGGTAGAAGACTCTAGTCAAGAGACTTTCCCTAGACATCTTCCCTCAGTGCATTAACCATTTGCTTATCTGTCTAGTGAGGATCCGTGGAGGGCTGCCAAAATGATCAAGGGCTACATGCAACAACACAACATCCCCCAGAGGGAAGTGGTTGATGTCACAGGCCTGAATCAGTCTCACCTTTCTCAGCATCTCAACAAGGGCACCCCCATGAAGACCCAGAAGCGTGCTGCCCTGTACACCTGGTATGTCAGGAAGCAGCGGGAGATCCTCCGACGTAAGTGCTTACACCCTGCCTCTGCTCCAACTTGAAAAGATCTTTGCCCTCACTCTGACCCCTATGGGCTGCCTCCATTTCCCCTTGATCCAGAAAGGCTTTCTAAGCACTTGGCAGGTGTATTTGGCCTTCGTAGTTAGTTGCTATGTGTAGACCGGCTTGTCTCATTTTCTCCCTTCACAGCCCCTTCTTACCCAGCCGGGGCTTTCAAGCCCTTCACTGTGCAATGTACCTTAAATTTTTTGGTCTTTCTTCCCAACATCCTTTACTTTGCAACTAAGTAGGTAACTTAGAAGAATAAAATATCTTCCACAAAGTAAACCAAAGACCTTCCCTTCATATATGACCACAATTCGGAGTTTCCAAAGAAGACATTTTATGGCAGGCAATAATATTGCTGTTATTTTCCTATGCTCTGGAATTAAAAATGAAGGCATTTGTGTAGATAGCTCCATTTAGAATCCAACCCTGTCCTTTGACAGGGCATCAGGTGGGACTGAGCCCTGAATAAATTTAAAGTTCTTTCTCACATTTGCCAAGAGGAGTAGAGTTTGGGACCTCAGCTGACGACCCTGTGTCCAATAAAGAAGCCACTTCTGGCTGAGGCACTAGATAGTAAAAGTATCTGCCTTTAAAACTCTGACCCATTCATTCTTGTCATTCCTTGTGCCATTCCAAAGTTTTCCTTCTGTCCCAAGATTTCTCTCACCCGCTAATACTGAAATGCTTTGATCGTTTACTCTTCAATTAGAAGCATTGTATGGATAGACTAGATGAAACAAAGAGAGAACCATGAGCTAAGAGGAGAAGCCCCTTGGCAGTACGGATTGACTCCAGGCTTGGCAAATGAATTCTTTAAGAATTTGTGTTCCTGACATGAAGCAACTCTCTAGTTCCTGAAAGCCTGAGAAAATTCTCAGAAGCCAGAGTCTCAAAGGCCAAAGAACTGCTGGGACTCACCCATCCTCCCACTTGTGCTGCATCTGTGTGTCCCCTGAGAAGCTGCTCTGAAAAGAGGGAAAGGAGGGCAGGGAAAGTCAGCTGGATATAAAGACAGAAGCCCCAGAAAGATGGTCAGGATGCTTGAGAGGAGACAGTTTACAAAAGCTGATGGATGGTAGCGTCTGCTCATAACCACTGTTGTTGCTATTGTTGTAAAGCCACATGAGGCATAAAGCTTAAGAAATATTCCTTCGTTTTGTAAATAGTGTGTGTGTCCGTGTTATGCTGCAAACAGCATGCTAAGCTGTGGGATACACAGGTCCTCTTCTCCAGGGAGGTCCCCAACTCTCTGAGGAGTTGGGATGTTTGGGTAAATAATGACCACTGCTTTCTAAGAGCTGTTCGAAAGATACACAGAAGGAGAAGCAGAGAAATCACTTAGATACCTCTTGGAAGGCTTCCTATGCAAAGTCACATTTAGCCCAGTTTCAAAGGATGGATATGAGTTATACAAGCATGAATAAAAATTAGGAAGGGAAATAAATAAAACAGAAACAAGTGAATAGGGTGAGTGGAGGGAAAAAGGGAGAGAAAGAATAAAAAAAAGATGATATATGATTATAAAATTTCATGGAAATCTAAAATGAGGAAATGATAGTATTCACAGGCCTGTTTATACACAGAACCTGCTTGTCTGAGCCAGCTTCTAACCCTAGAAAGAGACTGTTGAAAGCAGCTTTTTACAGGTACCTTTCGTGAGTAATCATTTCTGCCCCATTCCTACCCCTGATTAACCCAAAAGGAAGTGGAAGCTATGTGAGAGTCTAGTTTTTCAAGCATTTAGAGAGCTCCTGTGGCCAGTAGGTCCTGGATGTTTCCAAATACTTGCAGGCAACCCCCTGACTGATCCAGGCACACGCTGGCCTCTACAGACCTTTCAGGCAGCTGTTACCCTGTGGGATGGCTGTGTGCTTCACACCCAACACAGACAAAGCTCCAGGAGTGAGGTTTGTTACCTCCACAGAAATCAAATTTGGGGAACTTATGGATGTGTTGCTTGTTTCTATTTGTTTATCTGATTTTGGGGTGTTGCCTTAGAGCCCACAGACTGAATTCACACCCTAGCTCCTGCCCCAAGCCTGTGTGGCTTTCAGCAAGTTAAGTAACCACTCTGAACTTCAGTTTCTTCCTCTGTAAAATAGAAATAATAGTACTTTCTGCACAGAGAGGCAGAGAGTTGTATGAAAGAACTCATCTTGAGGACGCTGCACAAAACCTCACCATAGTAATGGTTCATCACATGTTAACTGTTATGACATCTGTGTCAAATGAGCAATTCACACTGATCGCAGGTCCTTGGCTTTATTGCTCATGGACGCTTCTGTAGGTACCATGTAGGGCCCACAGGGAAGAGGGAAGACATTGAGCAGGGAGCTCTTTCTCCCCTCTGATTGTCTCTCAAGTAACTGCGCAAGGAGAGCTGTTCAGCAGACCAAATAATGTCGGAGGTATGCAGGCATGGCCGTCAGAGGAATCTGGGTCATCCTCACCACCATCATCCTGACTAGCAGCTAATGTTCTTTAAGACTGTTTAGTGGCCCCTTGGCTCTCAGCCATTCTCATTGCACAGGAGAGGAAACTGAGTGAGCCAGGAATTAAACAGTTTGTCTGGAGCTCCTTTTTATCCCAGAGAGTCAGGGGTTTCCTGCTCCTAGATTCAGCAGAGGATATTTCAAGTTCCAAAGCCCTCTGGTGGCCTGATAATCACCTGAAGTGAATGAGGCTGGAATGAAAGGCTTCAGCGAGAAGAAGCACACTCAGTCAGCCAGGAAGACCGCTCATTAACTTGGCCAATTAGCTGCTGGTTAAACAAAGTCCAGCCTTACCTGCATCTGGGCTCCTGCATCCAGGCTGGTTGGGAGCCCACTGCTGCCTCCTGATGCAACCAAAGGGGACATTGGTCCTTAGATAAGTGTGAATTTACTATGTGTCCTTGCTCAGCAGGATGCTTGCACTATGTTTATTCATCTGTAAAATGGGACTAATCACCCCTGCTTTGTGCTCTCTTTTTTAAACTAAGTGAATATCCAGTTTATTTAAGCTAATGTCTTCTCAGCCTTTTGGCTCAGATCAAGTGCTTGTAGCCTACAAGATCACCACTGGGCCAAGGTGCCATCTTTCATTCATTCATTTGACAAAAAATTGGTTGAAGGATCCTGGAAAGTAGGCAGGCAAGGCACAGCAGTCCATCCACATGTATCATTCTCCACCTCACCCAGTGCCATTCCTAAAATGGCCCTATGTCTCTGCTTCTGCACTTGACATTTTCTAGATTTGTGGGTCACCTGTAAGACTTGCTGTATGAGCTTTCTCCTTCATATATGGACCCTTGCACACATACCCACATACATATACATATTATTTCAATATGTATTTTATTTATGTATATTTATTTCAAAGCATTATTTTAGAAGTTTGGAACTTTGTATTTTTCTAAGAACCTAAATTAGAATGCAGATGCCTAGTATATATGAGCAGAGAGGCAGGGTGGGGAGAGCTACTTGCAGTCAATCTCTGAATCTGTTGTGTAAGAGTAAATTACACCCTAGAAGTGTTTCTCTTGGCCTGAGACTTGGTGGAATTCATGCCCTTGTCATTAAAACACAAGTGTTCAGAATCCAGAGTGTTGCTTCATGTGTGAGGGCCAGTGACCCAAAGAAAAAAATTAATTTTCTCCATATGGGTTCTTGGAAGAAAGGAATAGGGTAGCTCCACTGGAGCACTGAGGTGTGCCCTCAGGAGCCTGTCTTGGGGACTCCCCACTCTGGTTCCACACACAATTGTGGCAGATTGCAAAATTTAAGGGAGAGGAATCAAGGGGTCTTTGTCTGTTTATCTGTCTGTCTGTCTGTCTGTCTGTCTGTCTGTCTGTCTGTCTGGCAAAGTGAAGGCTACAGGCTCTATCAAATCTACCCCTTTCTCTTTTCAGAGTTCAACCAGACAGTCCAGAGTTCTGGAAATATGACAGACAAAAGCAGTCAGGATCAGCTGCTGTTTCTCTTTCCAGAGTTCAATCAACAGAGCCAGGGGCCTGGGCAGTCCGATGATGCCTGCTCTGAGCCCACCAACAAGAAGATGCGTCGCAACCGGTTCAAATGGGGGCCCGCATCCCAGCAAATCTTGTACCAGGCCTATGACCGGCAAAAGAACCCCAGCAAGGAAGAGAGGGAGGCCTTAGTGGAGGAGTGCAACAGGTAACAACACCAGGAGCGTGCTCAAGCAGGCAGGCAAGCACATGGATCCAAGATCCATCCCCTCAGTCCTGGGATGTTGACATACTGGTTATCCAGATATTGTGTGGCTAAGTTGGAACATTTCCAAAGCATGTTACACAGAACCCAGGTTTCATCATATTGATAAATAACTTTGACAAACATTGTATGTGAGGGTCACAACACACAATAGTATATTTCCAGCTATGAGAAGTCCTGCAGTTAAAGAAAGATTCACTTAACTTTGGTGGCTGTTAACCATGGAATCCTTCTTCTTTGGAATACTTGATAACATCCCCATAAATTATTATTCTAGGGAAGATACACTGGAGAATACTGATACAAAATAAAAAAACTGGCAAAGCAAGTATTGTGTCATTGATCTCCATTCAGGCAAAACCATTCTTTAGCCACAGGTTCTGGGTCTGGCTTCCACCAAGTTTGTCCACCCATTAGTCCAAAAGGAAACTATGGGAGATTAAGAATTAGTTGGATCTGTTCGGTCTACTTTGCCCATATCAATTCAGTAGAGTTCTCTTTACATCTTCATGACTGTATGTCATCATAAAACAAGGAAACTATGGGAAATCCTTAGAATAACTTTTTGTTTCAGTTTTGTCTGGTTCTCCCTGAGTGCAATATTGACTTTCTAACAGACCTGCTCATTACCATGTCTGAGGCCTGTGGGCGTCTTTGTCTCTTTCTGGAATGGCTTTGGCAGTGGACAGATATGGTCAGCAAGGCCAGGGTAAAAGGCTAATCAATCTGTCTGTGCATGCGCAAGGTCCTCAAGCTCTGTCCTGTCTCCTGTTAATGGCAATTCCCTGCAGCATCCAGTGATGCATCAGGGTATATCTCACACCTGAGCTTGTGGTTTCATCAGCTCTATTAAAACTAGAGACAAGGCATCTAGGCGTACCTTCCTTTATACCCAACCCAGCCCATCCTTGGCAGGGAGTTCCTGGGTCTAAAAAATGACTCTGGCTTAGAAGATACCAGAGGTATCCAGAAAAAGACTTGGCCTTTTGTGTGGTGGGAAGAATGGCAAAATAAGGAGGAGTCAGGATGCCCAGTTCTCTCCCTGAACTGCGTATCCCTGACTTGATCTCTTCTCATAGTGTCCACACCAGAGACTTGTCCTTTGCCTTGTAGGGCAGCACAGCTTGCTCTGTGCCTGTGTGCAGGGCCCCCTCAATTTTCTTCATCAAATAACTACATAGATTTTTTTTTTCTCAAACTAGGCCTTCCTCTAGCCCACTACTCAACTTGGAGCTTCTATACAACCAAGACTGCCACGACTGTGTGGTTAGGGCCAATCACTAGCAACCACCCCCCCCCCCAACCATGTTAACTCATCTTCTCTCCTCCATTCTATTCCAGGGCAGAATGTTTGCAACGAGGTGTTTCCCCCTCCAAAGCCCATGGGCTGGGCTCCAACTTGGTCACAGAGGTCCGTGTCTACAATTGGTTTGCAAACCGTAGGAAGGAGGAGGCATTCCGGCAGAAGCTGGCCATGGACGCCTACAGCTCCAATCAGACGCACAGCCTGAACCCCCTACTAGGCCATGGTTCTCCCCACCACCAGCCCAGTGCCTCACCTCCAAATAAGCTGTCAGGTAAGCAGCGTCTGGGCCTCACTGCCTCAGACCTGACTATTGTTGTTTCCACTCGTCTCATTTGGTCCAAGATTTTTCAGTACAGCAACAGCTTTGGGATAGCCCTTGGGTTGGTCTCCCTGGCAGAATATTTTCATGAAAAGAATATGTGGCTCTGATCAAATTTCCTCTAATTCCTTGTTCAGCCATTGGATGTAAGGGATAGCTTGGCCCTAAGGGAGCCTTTTGTTCTCTTCTCTGACCTTGCCCTTCCCATCAGTTTATCCAGTAAGAAGCTGCCTTGTCCAAGCTGTAGGCAGAGGGTTGCAGGGATGCCTCAGCAGTCATTGTGATGGGAAATGGCAGTCTGGCTACCCTATGCCATCTTTGGGCTTGTCCTACCCCAGTGCTCTCTTTAACACCAGTAAAGGGGCCGCAGATATAGCTCAACAGTCTAAGCACCTGTGTAGGCACGCTCAAGGACCCCAGTACCACATGCTGTGCCAACACAACCCAGGCGCACTGAGCCAGCCACTAAGACCAGGCATGGTGGCGCACGCCTATAATCCCAATGCTGGGGAGGCTAAAACAAGAAGATCAATATGAATTCAAGCTGCGTAGTGAGACCCTGTACCAAATAATTTTTTAAAAAACCAAAAAACGGTAAAAGCCAGTAGCTTTAGAGAAGAGCCATTCTTGTGGCCTTGTGCTTGTTGGCTTCTGTGTTCTATCATGTCTTGGGTTCAGGTAGTGCTGGTTACTTGGTTGCTTGGAACTTTTGTAATGATTAGTTGCCCCAAACTGATTGAGTTCTTACTGTGTATCAAGCCATGGACTGGATCAGAATGAATCTTCTGTGGGGTGTAAGTCTATTAGGATGAAGCCCTATATCCTTACAGTGAGAAAGCACCCCCATGCTGAGTGCTGTGCGGCTGCAGGCTGGAGTCGGGTACTTCTGTAGTCTGCTTCTTCCATGGAAATAGTTTCCCAGAACGTGTATGCTTATTGAGGTGTGTTTGGTGCCCATGTGAATAAAGCATGGCACAGCCTCCTACTCTGGGGAAAGGATTACAAAGGAAAGCCATCCAGTGTTTGTCATTCTGGGGTGGTTCTGAAATCTGTTCTCCTTGCCTACTTTGCTGCCCTTCTGATGGGAAAGGCCTGAGAACTGGGAGCCGATCCAAGTGTTGAGGTGACCTGTGTCACCAGGACAAGCTCAGAGCCAACAGTGGGGAAATACCTAGGATTTGTCCTAAGCCAGCAGGGCCCATAGCATGGCTTCCTCGATGGCATCTGGGAGCCTGATAGTGCGAAGCATAAAACCCGGACCTGGGCTGTCTAGTTTCTATGGGTTCTGCACCCATAAAAAGGAAAGGCTGATTAAAGTGCCTGCCTAGGCAGACGCAGGGACTGGGGTTAGACCCCCAGCGTGCCGTGCCAGCCCCGCCCCCATTGCACCCTGAGATGGTGACTGAGACTGGACGTGGTGGCACGCGCCTGTAATCCCAGCACTTGGGAGGCTGAAAACGATTACTACAAGTCCAGTCTGTGTAGTGAGACCCTGTAGACTCTGTACTAAATACATAAAAAGGAAAAAAAAAAGGTAAGCCATATGGGAAAATAATTTGGGTGATTCTTGAAAGCAGAGAAAGCCCTGGACCAAGGTTGGCCTGATCTCCGAGTAACTTTGTCCCTTTATGGTAATTCAAAGCACAACCCAGAGGACAGTGGTAGGTGGCATGTGGCCAGCACTGAGCAAGACAAGAGTACTTGTGCACCATAGCTATCCTCAGAGCTGAGCTGGGAGCTTCAGGGGGTGTGGCTGGGGCAAGGGGCATTGTTGAGAAGACAATAGCCATTGTGCTGGGACCTGTGATCTCCACACCAAAGTCAGGGAGCCTGCAAGCCAAACAAAGGCCCAGCAGCCTTCTGACAAGCTGGGGTTGCGCTGAGGTCACCACAGGGTCGTTAGCTTCAGCTTTCTATCTCCTGAAATACAGAAAGCCGGATCTGGAGGGTCAGGGACAGGTACTGGAAGTAAGGCAGAGATGGTGGCCAAGAAATGCAGCCTGGATGCAGTTCACACGAGACACTGAGGACACATCCCACCGGAAATGGACTCTCTGGGAGTGCTCCCGGATGTCTGGACTTCAAAAACAACAATCACAGAATGGCAGAACACTGGCTTTAAAGGAAAAACTGAGGCCCAGAAAGAGGTAGTGATTTGGCAGAGAGGGCTACACAGGGCAATGACAGCAAAGGACTAGATCTCAGGTATGCTGATGCCAGGCTTTCCCGCATGTACTGAGTGCTTATCAAGCCCCAGCATTGCATGGGGAGCACACAGCCCTGCCCCCTCCAAGCTCGTTGTCTAATAAAAAAGATACTGCACCAGCATGGAGTTCCTAGAATCAGCTGGGAATCAAGTTTGTCTTTGGGGGCTTAGTGGCTCTCTCCAGGGAGGAAAGGACCTGACTGCTGCTTCTCAAGTAGCTCTTAGAGGGTGCTGTGAATGTGTATAGTGGCTGCTTCCCCTCTGTCTTAATTTTTACTTACGGCTATCAAGGCTATCTTTGTCCCAAGCCAAGGAGTACACTTGCCTGCGTATCACTTTGAATCTTAGCTCAAACCAGCAGAGGATAAGTATAGCTGATTCACCTCATTTCTTGTCTGTAAGATGAAAACGTAGTACCTGCCTCATAGGGTGCCTGTGAGAGTTAATGGGGGAATGTGTAAACATTACCTTTCCCAACAAACCATGCAGTTAACATCATTATTGCTCATAGTATTGGCAGAGGCCTACGCCAGTGGCAATGGAAGAATGGCATGCAGCAGAATGTATTTTATTTATAATTTTCACACACTGGGGCATTGCTCCTAGGAGGCTCCTAGGAGATGTGTTGTGTATGACCCTGGCACTGTGCTGGAGTCAGGGATGCAGGATGCTGGGATCAGAGCCCTCTTGTCCCTGTTTCAGGTTACTGTCATGGTGCCTGAGCTGCAGCGGGTCTCCAACATAATGTACCAGGGTCAGGCAGCTGGCAGGCTGGAGCTCAGCACTCAGGAAAGACACTGGTTTCAAGAGCTTCATAGTCACTTCCCATTGTGGTGTCACAGCCATGTGGCTTCTGTCCAAACCCCAAAACACAACGGAATGCAGAATATAGCTTCTGAGCTTCATGTTGCTGAGGAGAAGCCAACATCCAGAGTCAGGCTATCTCTAGTAGCCTCTGAGACTGGGCTGGGGAAAAAGAGCCCTCATTCCACACCCCTGCCCTCCAGCCACTGCTCTGCAAACCCCAGCACCTGAGCCAGGAGGGCTGGCGGCACTGGGAGATGAATTTTCCTAGAGAGGGAAAGCGCCCTTTTTGTAACTGAGCCCCTTCCTTCCCAGCCACGTGTGCTGCGCTGTGGCCCACTTGCCCACAATGACCACAGTGTGACCCTGGTCCTGGAATGTCCAGCACAATAGGGGTGGCAGGAGGAGCACTTTGCCTCTGTCAGCGGCTGATTGGTTACAAGGTGCCCTACAAACACATTGTCAGCAGAATCAGCTGTTTTCAGCGTTGCCCCTCCTTGGCTTTACAATCGCACACCAGCATGCAGCCAGGGGTTGTCATGGCTTTGTCTCCCTTATGCATGCTTAATTGTCAATTAAGTTGGGGCTTTGAACCAGCCTGGCTGCGGCTGATGGGCCTTCATCTTTCCAGTGAGAGTCACAGGGGCACTCTTTGTCTGTTCTTCTTGGGGGCCTAAAGTTACTGTAGCAGGCTGTAGGCAGCCATTTATCTTCAACCTGCAAGGCCTTTATCTGCGCCCCCCCTCCCCATTCCAGCTCTCGCCAGCAGGAGCTGTCCCTGGTTATAGACCCTGTGACAGCCCCTTCGGAGGCCATTGAGCAGGTCCCGAGTGATGGCCTCTACTTCCATTCTGGAGCTGACTCAAGAGAGAGGCCCCCAAAAGGTCAGAGGGCAGGATTGCTGCAAGAAAAAGGACTGGTTGGAGACTGGTGCTCCTATTGATTGGCTGGGGGAAGAGGAAGAGGAGGAGGAGGAGGAGGAGAAGGAGGAGGAGGAGGAGGAAGAGGAGGAAGAGGAGGATGTTGGCATGTGATGGAAGCAGGGCTAGTCTGTCTTCACCCAAGCCATGGTACCTGGGGTGGCCTTGTTCACTAAACGCTTTGCTCCAGTCCCCAACTAAGTCATCTGGCCACTGCCCCAGGAAGAAAAGGAGGAACAAAAAGATTTCATTAATCCTCCCTCACTCTCCCACATGTCACATCCTCACTTCTGCATCACCTTTTGGGAAGGAAAGGTAGACTTATTGTCCTGGAAAGAGAGACATAGGAACATCCAGGGCCTGCACTGAGAGATCTTTGGGACCCTGAGCCACAGCTTCTTCCCCTAAGGAGGGACACTCTGCGGCTGTTCTCCTCCATCCCTTTGAACTCTATTCCTCCCTTTCTCTGTGCAGCAAACTTGACTTTCCTAACATAAGATAAGATCTTAAAAAACAGGATCTCGCTTCCTGCTTTTTCTTCCTCCTCCTTCGTTCCACTTCCACAGTAGATGCAGAGATCTAATCCCTGGTCTTAGACACACGAGGCTTTTGGACAGGGACCTTGGTGGGTGCTGTTGCTCTCCGTGGCAGGGAATTCTGTGGGAGCAGAAGGAGCCTCAAAAGTGCCCCGTGGCAAGATAGTGAGTAACAGTGAGGGATTATAACAGTTGGCATTTTCTGAGCACTTCCTGGTACAGGCCCTGGCTGAACACTTAAATGCATCCTCTCGTTTCATTTCTGCAGCATCCTTGAAAGGGTGGAACTCTCTGTATTGGTGTCCTCCTTTTACAATCAAGGGAAGCGAGACATTTCGAATATAAGGAACCTGCCCAAGTTTGTGGAGTTTATAAGTCGTAGGGACAGGTTTTGAGCTGTTACACACTGCCCATCTCTCTTTGCTCTTTGCAGATACTCAAAACTTTTGAGGCTTGAAATCTTGCACATGCACACACACACACACA